CATCGCTGTTGAGGGAGCTGTGGGTCCCGTTGGTGAAGGAGGACACACTGGGCTCCACACTGCTGCAGGAGCCTTTAGTGTCAGACAACCTCCACCTCTTGTCCTCCACCATTAACAGCCGTGGGTCAGGACTCCAGTCTGACATAACACAAAGACATGGACTATGGGAAAGAATTATGAAAATACTTTTTCTTTATCTGATAGAAATGCTGTGTATTATTTATACGTTTTTCCTTATTTTCTGTGATATGTAATAATAATGGATTGCATTTATATAGCGCTTTTCGGGACCCTCAAAGCGCTTTACAATTCCACTGGTGAATGGCCTGGCTGGTGGCCTGTATTTGTACAGCGCTTTATTAATCCCTAAGGACCCCAAAGTGTGAAGGCAAGCTACAGTTGTAGCCACAGCTGCCCTGGGGCAGACTGACAGAGGTGAGGCTGCCATATCGTGCCATCGGCCCCTCTGGCCATCACCAGTAGGCGGTAGGTGAAGTTACTTTCCCAAGGACACAACAACCGAGACTGTCTGAGCCGGGGCTCAAACCGGCAACCTTCCAATTACAAGATGAACTGCCAACTCTTGAGCCACGATCGGCCCACATATATACCTACTGTGACAATGGTGGGTAATCATATTAACACCAAAAATGTCTTAATATGATCAGTACAAACCTCCGCTCACTTCATGGTGTTTATGAGGGGCAGCCAATCAGAAAACGTTGACTTACAGTGAAGGGGATGGGAGATATAATGGTTTCAGACTGAGGGTTACACCGAGGCACGCAATAAATATTATGTAGATCTGTGAATCGTGCAAAGCTATTATAACCTAGTCGTCTTGAGTTTAAAACTAAAAATATGGAACTGGAAAAATCCCATCCACGTGTGTCTTGCATCCTTTAAATATTCAACATTTCATGATTTTTTTGTATTTTTCCTGGAAAGAAAAGGGGGAAAAAATTCCCAAAAAATCTCAGCTAATGGTTTTATCTAATACTTGGCAAAAAGGGTTTATGGGATCCCAAAGAGAAGACTTAATAGCTGCACTGATTTCCTGCTAAACTCATTAAAACAGGCAAACACATAAGGAAAGTTAGGAGAGAAGCAATTATTTGGCTGTATGTTGCCTCTACAACAACACAAACCAGCACCTCTGTCAGCCCATGACCCAAACTACACTGTACCTCTTTCCTCCTCCTTGTCTTCATGGTCCGCATTGTGTCCTTCATCCCCATTTTCCTCTTCCTCACTTCTCCTCCATTCACTACTTCCCTCATTTCTCTCCACGCCACTATTCTCCTCGCTACTGACACTCAAGTCTCGAGCACTGTTGTCGTTTTCGTTTTCGTGGAGGTTCTGAATATCATCCCACAGATCCCCATACCCTGAACATTGAGGGAAATGCTGTTGATTAATTCAAAAATTGCATATAGATGCACAGCAAAAATCTGCACAACAGAAAAGCCACACAGGAAACTTGACATCACTTCACGGGGTCTGCACACTGTAACAACGCCACAATGCGAGCCAACAGACCAACACGCCTTACCACAGCACATACTAGACATGACAAAAAAGCACAAGAAAATCTGCTCTAATTTTTTATTTTTTTACAGCTCATACAGCTTAATGCAGAGACGATTTTCACTCAGCTGCAACAGCAATGAAAGCAACGTAACTAAACTAAAAAACTCTATCAAGTCTACAGCCATCGCAAACACCAAGGACTTGCCTTCCATTGTTGGCTTCTTAAAAGGTTTAACCAGCTCATCTAGGGATAAAAAAAACATGTAAGACATGCATTAAGAAAAAAAAAAGATCACCATATCACCCCATCTGAGCAGCGCTGCTATCACCTGCAGGCTACTGTGTTTTCATTTCCTTTGACGTGCCTTCACATGTGGACTAAAAGCCACACGAAACCCCTCAAAACATTTACAGTCACTTAGCAACAGGGTCATTACAATGTTTAGCAGATAGATGAGTGTTTCAAAATCAATACTGGGAAAATGAGAGAGAGCACCATCACAAATTTTTGATATGACATTAACAGAAACTTGTTCGTTATTTGGCTTTCAGTACATATCACATTGAAGTTGGATGAAAATGTATTTAGATTTAATCTCTGTGAAAGCTCTTGTTTTAAAGAAAATCAAGTGTGTGTGTATGAGAAGCTGTAAACTAAATATATGCCTAATATATGCAAAACGTTGGTTTCTACAGGCCTCCAAATCTGCTGTCAGAGGCCGACAGCCAAACATTTTAGGGACTGCAAGCATCCATCACTTTATATGAACTTTAATTGATAGTCCACAGTCACGGAGCCGCCAAACCAGACACTTACCTTAAAGATGTGAAGGATCCAGCTCAACTAGTTTTCTAGATAACGGAATTTGACTGAATTTATTTATTTTGCAAAATTTGATGAATTGAGATGGAATGCCGTCATGTCATGACACCATACTGATCAGAAACACGACAACTTGAGAATACTCCATAGGCATGTTTCCAGGCTTGCTTTACCCGCATGTTGTGCAAAGGGCCTGGTGAAGGGTCTCCTGTCCACCTCATTTTCTTCAGCCTCCTCTCCCTCTACCTCTGCGTAGAAATTTCCCAGCATCTGTACCAGGTCAGACACATCTTCTGAAATTGGCACAGTCTCCAGAATCTGAAAACACACATACAAATTTGATAAATCAACAGAAAGGCTCTTTTGATTCGGGAGCATTATGGTACAAATGCATGCAAGTTGAGGCAAACAACAGTGCCAATAAGATACTTTACATTTTGCAAGAGAAGAGTTGTTTAACACATCCCTCGACTAAATGCCCGCGCTTTTCTGAGCACGCCAAGTCATTTATTCAAAGCATGATGCCACGAGTGTTTATTATTCTGCGTGCTGCTTCTATTCAGCCCCAGTTTTGCCTGAAAGGACTTACCAGCTGGATGTTCTCAATATAACTCTTCATGGCTTCCTCCTTTGTCATATTTCCTAAAGAGCTCCATGCATCCCTGAGAACACAAAGTCATAGTTCAAAATCAACTGAGGCTGTGAAGTTGAAGTATTTTCTGTGTTTGTGCAACAGTATACGGGGGAGAACTAAGTGCATTTGGCTCCATAGTAAAATAGCCATGCAGTGGCCATACGTGCCACAGGGGAGGGACCCCGATAGTAAAAACTAGTTGGGGTATTATGGGTCCATATTAGAAATGCATATACCATTTAGCTTTTCCATGGGTGTCCCAGAAGCCGGTTGGTCTGGAAATGTTGCACGGCCCCATAGTGGCCTGCTTATGGTAACTGTAGAACATCAGCATCATGTCATCAGATGGCTGAAAAGTACCTAAAAAAATAAGGAAACAACAGAAAGGCAAGCTCAGGCTTTGTGTGCAGTAAACCAGTAACACACAATGTGGCAAAGATGCATGAAGTGTCTGATTCGGTTAATCAGCTCTCATCCCTGTAGCAGCTTTGGGGTCAGCCAAGTGTGAGTGACAGCTCTTAAGTGCAACACATGTAGGTCAATCACACAGAGTGAACAAACAAGCCCAGTGAGGACAGATTTTACACTCCACAGCTGATCATTGAGCACTCGAGTTCAACCATTTTCTACTTATTTTCCCACACGGGCTCTATGGCAGATTTTAATAAGTCATCACCTTCTTCGGGCAAACTCCGGACCACTTTAACTGCCGCAGCAAATTTCGCCTCCAGGCTGTGCTTGTCCTCCTCCTGCGCCATGCCGAGTCCACTGAAGGATGACATGAAGGAGTCCTCACATCTTGAGCAAGAAATTGAAGCAATTAATGAAAAAAAAAAAAAAAATCAGAAAGAGCTGAAGGGAGGGGGTGACACAGTTTGTTCACCACTGCACCTTGCTGGCACCTGTCCTGTATTTGTAAAAGGCCAGCTGCTTTCTCTCTAATCTGGGATTTTGAGATGAAATTGTTCTATAAAATTACCCTCGTCGTTTTTTTTTCGTTCAGCGATAACAGACTATATTCTCCGAGTGAAATGCATTTTTCTGTGGTTCATTTGCTCACTCACCATCAAGTTCACATTGGCCGGTAAGATAATTATTTCATTAGCCCGGTGTCTGTCTGCAATATGCAGCAAAAAAGCCAATCTGCTCCGGTCAAGGATGAGCCAAACACGCAACGTTTGAGCCTTAAACACGTCTGGGTGATGTAGTTTTATTCAGTAAAAAAAACTGCAGATAGTAGTGCACATCTCAACGCTTAAGCATTCAAATCCCACAAACCTCTCTGAGCGGAGTTTTAAACCGAAGTGGTGAGTGGGAAATGTAGGAATCTGCGTCTAGGTCTCTTTTTTGTCCAGGCAGCAAAAGAAAATAGTTCTCTTTCTCTTTTCTTAAAATTAAACTAAACCTATAAAGGATATTGTCAATGCTGATGATTCAATAAGACACGTTCTGTTATTTTGTAAACACATCAGATTAGAGTTTTATAGCGCCTATTCCCAGACTGTCTTGTAGAATTTAAGCTATATATTTTTATTTTTATGTGCTCCAGATAAAAATATTTCTATATTTTTCATAGGCCTGTTTTTAAATTAGTGTTTGATGGATGTTAATGTTGCAAAATGGGTTGATAATGGTGATGTATAAACAAAATATATTAATTTCAAGCTAACGCTGTTTCTCTTTGACTGTGTGTGTGAGGAAAGAAGAATTTAAAGATGTGACACGTGTCTACATGAGACCTTATAACCTTATTAATAATATATAATAATATGTTAATATATTGTAGTTAAATACAAGCTAAAATCAACTATTCGCAATCATTGTGTTATTAGCCATACCATGTAAAATACCGCTAAATAAAACGATGTATTATTTTATCAGCGTTTTTTAGCGATATTACTAATGCCATCGCAGTTAAATGCCATTGGGCAACGGCTCCTCTCCCTCGGCCTCTCAGCCAATCAGCTCTCACCGCTTATAACGTAACTCTGATTAGTCACGGGCTGTTGTGAATCGCAGGCCAGCGGCCCGACAATGCCAGGCGGGGGAGCCCCTTTCTCAGCAACACAGCACAGCATCACCGCCTCGCCTCGCTGAGAAAAAGGACAGGCAGGAGAGAAATGCAAAGGGATGTAAGATGGCAGAGCTACAAATGCTATTAGAGGAGGAAATCCCTGCCGGTAAAAGAGCACTCGTGGAAAGCTACCAGAACCTGTCCCGGGTAGCGGAATACTGTGAAAACAATTATGTTCAGGTAAGAAACGCCTAAAAACCGCCTTTGCATATGGTGAATTTACTGGTTTATCACCGTCGTGTCTGCGGTGTTGTAGTGGGAGTGAGTGAAACCACAGGGGCAGGAAATGCTGGTCGGAACGAAAGCGACTATCAAATCGCTAGCTACACCGAGTGGTCTTTTCTCCCGGTACGCTGGTTTAAGGGGCCGCTCGGTGCCATGTCGGGCATGGCTGTGTTTCGTTATCCCTCTGGTTTCTGTTTTTTAAAGGGTTTCCTCGGTGAGCTGAGAGCTGCTGGGGGCTTTTAGAGGGTGTGTCGTTGTTATGACTAAGTAGGTTGTCACTGACTGCATTCTGTGGTAGGTACCTGTGAAGGAGGCTAATCTCAAAACCGATTTTTTTCCTTCTTTTTTCCTCCCTACGTGACTAAAACCGCACGCTCACCGCACTTGAAAACGGCATAACAGTATTATAAAACGAAAAAAAGGCTCGAGCCTTCCCTTTGGTCGTTTAAAATACAAAAGCTAACAATTGTATGTATATTTTTGAAAATGTAATACTGTCACAGAGCGATTATTATAACACATTTATTCACTAGAAACTCACTAAAACTGTGGCATATTCACGAATTAGCCCTTCCCTTTAGCCATTAAGCACTGGATTTAAAGGCATTTCTCATCTGTGAGCTTTCTTGCCAGTTTATACATCACAAAGTAAACCAAGTGCTAAAGACTTTACATGCAATTCGTCCAAGTCTATAAATGTGTAATGATCCTGATATAACGGTCTACTGCAAAACGTGGCCCCAGAGAATGTGTGTGTGGATCTTATAATGCCTGTGATTGCATGCATGGTGCAGGTTAATGAAAGGTGTGCCTGCTTGTTTTTTTGTGCTTATATTCACTAAATATTAAGTCAAAAAATCAGTAAAGCATTGAGGCATCTGGCTAAATGAGGTATTAACAATAAACCTCAGTTGTTAGTCTCCCACAGAGTGCATTGAGTAAATGTGAGGAATACTGGGAGCTGACATCAAAGTGGCTTCAATGGTCTGGTGTGAACAGAAGACCACTTTGAATCAGAAACTGCGCTCCAGCTTGGCAATTTCTTCGTCACCGTGCTGCCTTGAAAGCCCACAGTAAAAGCACATCAGATCACTTTACCCCGGTTGTCATCAAAAATGCAATGTAGGTTAGACTGCTTGAATGCACGTTTCCTACTGATGGGCTTACACGGTGTTGTGAGGCAACACTTTCAGAGCTAGATCATGCAGGAAGCTATTATTCTGCAGATCAGTTGGACGGTTTGAGAGGAAATAGCATGCACCTGGTGGCAAACTTAGCTGCTTTAAGAAGCAGGAGCTTAGAGGCTTTAGTTTACAGACCAGGTGTCATATGTTGTGAAACAGGAATTTGGAGCACTCAATAAATAATAATAGCAAAAAGACTGTCACATCAGATTGATTCTTTTGATACTGATAAACTAAAGGAAGTGAAAAACCAATTGTCATGGTGTCGTTTCAAATTTATTTAGGTTGTGGAATATAAAGGTACTTCACATATGAGCTCATCAAAAATGCAAATCCCTGTTCATCCATCCATCTAAAAACAAAACAAAAAAGGAATCCCTTTTTATTTATTTTTGATTAATGAAACATATGTATTTGTAGTGGACAGTGAGGAACAAAGTGTTTTGTGGCACACCTGTTTTTAATGCAGTGTCTGTTCTTAGCACTACTGAATGTTGCTCCTGTCAAAATCCCAGCACCACATGAAGCCAACAATAAACCATGTAATCATATTTTGTGAGTCATCTGCAGAAAACACAGGGATGTTTTTTTGGAGCCAGCTGGTGTCACCCAGATAAGATTTACTATCTCCATGAATCATTTATGTGTAGGTGAATGAGACAAAGGCACTAAGGAATAACTCTGTGCATTAAGAGATTTGAAGTGTCATATAAGTTCCACATTTTTATCAGGCCTTAATTTCAGAAAAATATCATAAGCATATATATATTTGAAAATGTTTGAAAATGATTGTGTGCTAGTTTGATTCCCTTTCACTGCTGAGTTTGAAAGCCCAGGGCTGCTGCTTGGTTTATTTCCTACATCATGGCTGGAATATGAAAATGCTCGCATGTGTGTGGCTTTTCCCGAATAATGATTTCTTTAGGGACGTTAAAAACATTAGCTCAGATCCTGCGTGCATGTAAACACACTTGACAAACACAACAGGGAATGAAGGGGATTGAGAGTATTATGTAGGCCAACGTAGCTTATCCTTATATTGTGCTGGGTAAAAATCAAACACGGAAAATGCTAATGTCTTCTGCCTTTTGCTCCCAAGTTGTCAAACCACGTTATCAGCTTGGATACAGTAGCTCTGCATAATCCCACGTGGACAGTTTTTAAAACTGCGTTCATAAACTCACACAGTCACCTGAAATGATGACGCTATGTAAAAAAACAAACTGCATGCCATGATATGTAAATCTACCCAGGCAGGCTGCAGGAAAAAGACACAAGTTTTATTCTTAGATCAGAAGCTGTTTGAAAAAGTGTCACATACCAAACTGAAGACAAGAAAGCAGGACTCAGTTTTTTTTAGTAACTTTCTAAGGTCTTTGTGTATTAAAATAGCATCTCTCGCAGTGAAATTGTTCTGCTTTTTACAAACCCACTGGTGTGTAAATTGTTCTGAACATTTATGTTCTTAGTTTTGCTTCAGTATATCGTTTGTGTATGCGTAACCACACATATTACTCATTTCACCCTTCTGTAATATAAGAATGTTAGCCCTGCCAACCCCCCCCAAACTACAACTCACTCGACACCCCTCTGACTCATAGTGTTTTTTGTTCATAACTCCTGAGGATATTCTTGTCTCAGTATTGTATTTCACTGAATTTGCTTTATTTTACCGCATTGTTTAGATAGGAGTCTTCCACATACCAAAAAAGGAATTCCAATTAGAGCCTCTACAAAAAGCCTTTTGTAAACTTAATACGAAATCCCAAAGAGAGTGGACAATGTGTATAAGGGAGATGTGTGTGTTTCTGTGCAGTACTAGTTTTAAACCTCTTTGTGCTCGTGTTAAGCTCATGCAAGAATCACTACGTATCCAAGCACTGTCCTAGCATTGCTTCACATGTTGTGTGTTAATAGCTCTGTGAGGTCTTTCAGTAGTCATCCAGTGAGTTATGTAAGTCAGCCTTTCCCAACCTAAGGTATGAAAACCAGTTTCTGTGCTAAACTCGCAGTGGGTCACAGAGCAGGTGGTTTGGTGGTCATGTTCAAAAGTGCTGTCATGGTGTAGGTGTTTAACCTCTTGCTACCAAGCACACGTAAACACGTGGTGGTTTGGAAACAGCTTGCATGTGATAACTGATGTATATAGTAGCTGTACAGCATACAACACAGCAGTGAATCGGCCTGAATGCTTATGAACTCTTCATTTAAAAAACTATAAGGTGAGACTTCAACATTTGAAAAACATTTGCTTATCATGATAAGTTTAGCCAATCAGCAGTCCGGAAACAGGTGCAGGCACCCTGATCTAAAACACAGCTTTTGGTGAAACCGTTGCATGGTGGCAGGACATTAGGTCATCACAGTAGCATCAGTGAATGTGTGACCCTGTAGGCACAGTTTGTAAATAGGGGTTGGACAGAATATCAATGTCAGCAAATCAAAATATTGATTATCATGATCTAATAATTAATGATAATTGATTAAAACATTCGTTGGCATTCTTGTAGTCTGCTAGGACAGGTGGAGCTTAATCATGAAGATCATGACCTGAGGCAATCTTAAGTGTCACATTTCTGTTTTTGTACACATTACAGAAGCAGAACGATATATTGTTTATAAGTCAGGTGTAGATTGTGTAGTAGTTGTAAGTTGTAGTCTTTCTGTGGTAGTTCGCTGTTGGAGTGCTTCAATGTGTGGCCGCATTCTCCCGTTTTGTTTCCAAACTATAAATATGTCCGTTCAGTCACATTGCTATTTAAAGGCATCCAGAAGCAGATGGTTTGCACAGCCAGGTGGAGATTTGGGAAATGTCCTGGCATTCCTGTTTTCTGGGCTCGAATCCCACTGTGCACCTGTCCCATGTTGCCCGTCGGAGTTGTTCGGACATTGTCCCAATTTCAGGCTGTGTAGTAGTCCACAAAGCCTTTGCTTCACAGAATCACAAACTTTTCTCCTTCACTTCCCTTCAGATCGTAACATGGCTTTGCAGTTTAAAACCAGCAAAGAGAGGATGTCAAATACTATTCCCTGTAGACAACTGCCCTCTCACTCTGCAGCTCACACAACTGATAGGAGAGGAACAATTACAGTACAGCATTTTGTCTTGCTTTTATGGACTTTACACCTTACTTTCTTCTGCCAAATTCTCCATTTCTTCCACCCACACACATTTCCACTGACTTGTTTTTTATATCAGTTTGTTCTTCTCCCTCTCCCTGCCAGGCTCAAGACAAGAAGAAGGCCCTGGAGGAGACCAAAGCCTACACCACTCAGTCTCTGGCCAGCGTGGCCTACCAGATCAATGCCTTAGCAAACAATGTGCTGCAGCTGCTGGATATTCAAGCCTCGCAACTACGACGCATGGAATCGTCCATCAACCACATCTCCCAGGTACGCACCACAACAGATTCGGTATTTGTGCATGGGATTTGAATCATCAGCCAAGAAGGTCAACTCTGATTTTAGCAGTCTAATCGCTGCTTTATCCATCAAATGAACAAAGATAGGTTTTTCCTCTCTTGATAAAAGTTATTCAAGTACAGTAAAATGCCACAGTCTGCTATTATTCAGTGTCATAATACCAAACTGCACAATGGCACATTCATGTATTATAAAGACTGACAGATATGGCGGGGGCATGGATCATGCTGGAGCTGCCAGTCCTCCACAGTCCCTCATCAGTCCCGCTTGCTTCATCAGCAGTCCTCTCTCTCTCCGTCTCTGTTCCTCTGTGTGCGCTTCATGCGGCCACCCTGCCTGTCAGCCATTGAATGTCCCGTCCCCTCCCTGTGCGCTTCATTAAGCCTGTCAGAATGAAGTGAAACCCTGACGCCAGCACTCTAGCTTGCATTTTCAGCTCCCACTTTACTCTGCAAACTGCGGAGCGGTAGCAGTCAGGTGCAATCTCACAGCGGACAACCAAACACTATTCTCAATCCTTTAAAGGTGCTCAGTAGAGCTTTACTTCCCCTACTTGATGTTTCTGCTTCACACCCAATGGCACCCTTGACGTGTAGCAGCACAGAAGAGAAACTGTTGAGTCAGTACGTTCACCTGATCGTAACTGAGAAGCGACTTCTATCAGCTTTAGTCTGGCCACAATGTTTCACTGCAGCCTTTTTTGTCATTTCATAGCTAGAAAAACACTCGTTTCACCACTAGATTGATTCTAGAAGTCACATATTTTTCTTTCTGTACTGCTGAAGCTGTAAAAGCAAAGTGAGGCCGTGCTTTTTATTCTGTTACATGGCATTCTGCGAACATATCTGCCCTTTTTCACAACACCATCAAAGCAAGCTTGTGCTATACATTTCAGAGAATTAGGTTTTTAATTTAAATTCTGCAATTTGATTTACAGGCAATCAAGACAGCTTCAAAAAGATTCTTAGACAGGAAACCACAACAGCATCTTATGAACAAGCTGACCGGTTATGTCTTTTTTAGTTCATGCAAGCTGCCTCGTGTGCGTGAAAATCTAATAGCAGTCCATAATACTTATTTATTTGACACCATGCATGAATTGAGTCCGTGGATCCAGAAGAACATCTGGATCTAGGTCAGTTTGGAATACTTTCACCAAAAGTGTTTCCCAATTTTTATTCTTTCGGTTTGATATATATTCATGAAGATATGGCACAATGTTTTTTTGCAACGATAAAGAATCCTTCCAAAAATGTCTTGATTCAGATTAGTGTATGAATCGGCTCCAAAGGTTAATTTCCTCCAGGGTGGGGCATGCCACACCTCTGATAATTTTTTCATGTAAAATGGAAATGCAAAATTTAACCACAAGTAAAGAAGCAAACAAAACCAGTCTCATAAACTCAATGATGGGGTGAAAAAAAATGCATGCCCCTGAAAACACAGATGGCTTTAAATCTGCTTGAATCGTTTAAAAGTTCAGGAAAAGATCATTAACTTTACATATACCCCATAATGGCTTTTCTCTCTACACAAAATGAATATTTAACTTTGCTTTGCTGTGGCACTTTATCAATTTATCATTCTAGAAAGAAAGGTGGGCAAACGCTGCTGCCAAACCCATGTCTGATTTAAAAGGCCTCAGCAGAAAAGTCTTTGGCAGAAATATACAGTACAGGCTAATCCCTAAAATGCAAAGCAGCAGCATGTCTAATCAAAGGAGAAATCTGAATTAGAACCTGAATTAAATGGTTATGGATAAAAATGGACATGCTTCCTTTTGATTTTGTTGGAGATCTGAAACTCTACACTTTGGTTTCTTTTCCACTTTCACTCTGTCTTTTCTTTCTGATTTATCTCTCAGTTCATTCCCCGAAATTGTCATCCATCAGCTCAATGACCCACTTGTGCCTTTTTCAGCTCCATTTCAGTTGGTCCAATCCTCTTAAGCGCAGGATCAACTTCGCATTACTCTATATTGCAGTGTAAATTCAAAAGATTGTGGCGACACATTTATGGACACCTCTTTACCGTAAAATATAGCATCAACCGTATTAGTTGTTTGGATTTAGTTAATATCAAACTATACATGAAATCATTGACATATAAATTCATCGTTTACATGTCTTAAAACCATACTTGGTGCAGACATTTCAGCTCGCTCAGTTGCTCTGCAGAGAATGATCATCTGCTTAAGAACAGATTTAATAGAATGACACCACTGTATAGCTCTGGCAGTGAGAGTTACCATCTGTACCATCTGTTGTCAAAAACACACTCCACAGGGTTGAGCAGACAGGCAGATGTTTATTAAAGAGATTACAAAAGAAAATGAGATCGCAAAAGATCATGAAGGGCAGACATTGCTGTCGTCACTCATTAGATAACAGTTATGTCTCGATGCATTTAGCAATGTAAACACAGAGGAAATGCATACAGAGGAAAGTAGCTCTAAAGTGAAGTTTCCTTTTCTATTTCATCATTTTCTTCTCTTCTCAATCTCTTTTTAATTACTGTAAACGCCCCAGAATCAGCTTCTAGTGCCTCTGTCTTGTGTGCCTCTCTCTCATTTCTGTGCCTCTCTGTCCTTCTGTTTTTTTCACTCTCTCTAATCTACACTGCACCTCAGCTCGCCTGTTACTGGCAGGAAATGGGCAGGTCTTTTTTGTAACTTCCCAGCTGAAGCTGGGCGTGTCACTTCAGTTTCCTCTCCTAAAGAAAGAGCCTACAATATCACACACACACACACACACTCAGATAAATAGATGATAGAGCTCAGAGACTTCATCTCAGACACAGTGAGAGGGTAGCACAACTTGACAGTTCTTCTCAGATTTTGAGTCTCTTGGTTGGAAAAATGTTTAAAGATAATTAAATGAAGCTCTAAAACACATGTTATTCTTATAGTATATTTCTTTGTGTCCATTTGCAATGTATATATATATATATATAATATATAAATTCCCCTCTCACCCCGGTCTATCCTTCAAGCTCGGGTCCTCTACCAGAGGCCTGGGAGCTTGAGGGTCCTGCGCTGTATCGTAGCCGTTCCTAGGACTGTGCTCTTTTGGACAGAGATCTGTTGTTGTTCCCGGGATCTGCTGGAGCTACTTGCCTAGCTTGGGAGCCACCGCCCCTAGTGCTCTCTCTCTCTATATATATATATATATATAAATAACAATTGTTGTAACATTGTTGTTACTGAATTGCTGTAAACAGATGCTGACTTTTTTTTTGTACAACTACATGTCCACTTTGCAGCTTTTGAATGCTGGTTGAAACTATATTAAGCAATAGAAGCTGGTGATGGTGTAACAGTTTTAAACATAGATTACTCTGTGCACAGTAGCCAAAAAATTGGTTGTGAACAGCGCACACAACAGAGCTAGAAGCTGTCAAATAACAGTAGTTCTCGCGTATTTCATTTACACATATTCTCTTTGAAAATCAGCTTCAAATTAAGTGTAATTGTCTTGAATTAAATTGTTGTCAACAACAGTTTTCACTGCAGTGCACTATGATGGCTCAGAAGTTAAAACGAGCCTTCGCTTTGGGCGAAGGTTGGTGGTTTGATCACCAGCTCATCCACTTGTTGATGTGTGTGGGCACATCAACATAATTTCATCATAGTATAAATAAATATGAAAGAATAAAAGCACATGGTTTTAGCGTTCAGTTACATGCCGTATCACCTCCCTACATTAAAAGCAAATTTACAGGCCCACCTTAGAAAACAGGAAGTGACCATATTATATTTTCCTCAAACAGACCGTGGACATCCATAAGGAGAAGGTGGCCCGCCGAGAAATCGGCATCCTGACCACAAACAAAAACACCTCTCGTACCCACAAGATCATCGCTCCGGGCAACATGGAGCGGCCGGTGCGCTACATTCGAAAGCCTATCGACTACACGCTGCTGGATGATGTAGGACACGGCGTCAAGGTAAGGAAAATATTCTTCATTGTGTTAAAATAAAAACCTTCTAACAAGGAGTAAGAGTAAAGTCGTCTCTGCACTATTCCACCATAATTACTACCAAACTGTTGCATCTGTCCATTACTTTGATAAATTGCCGTGTTTTCTCCCAGTAATCAATTTTGCCAGAGAGGAATACACATACTTAGTCAAGTTTACACCTGGTACTTGCATGTGAGCATCCTCACTGTCTGCATTCATAATTCATTCACACACTCCCACCCAGGCTGCGAGCTGATCAATACGCTGGCCTTTTAGTTGATTAAGCACGGAAACACTTCAGCCCATCCAAGAATAGCTGCACAGGCAAGAGTTTTTCATGCCCGGTAACAATTACCCAAGCTGCTAGTTATTAATCGACTGTGTGTGTGTTTTTGAGGGAACTATCATAGCCAAGTGTTACTCACACCATCACACTCTCTTCAAATTGTAAAAAAAAAAGTAAAAATCTTTCAGTCTTTCTTCCGCCTCATTCTTCAGTTTTTTTTATTCTCTCTCCCCATGATCCATCCTCTCCTCGCCCCTCTCTTCCTCTATTTCACAAGACTGTGTGTCTGTGCTTGTGTCAGCGTGCACACACAGTTATACGCACTGATTGCTTGTGTCATAAATTTCCATAGTGCGTGTGTGTCAGTTGGCCTCTGTATCCCTTTCCCCTGGTCTGTCTCTGTTGAGATAGTGGCTGTCCGCTGATTTTCAAACATCCGCTGATTCAAATTCAAAAGCTAGTGTTTCCTCCTTTGAGAGCTGGCTCACACTGAGATGGATTTGGCATGGCCCACTATGCAAATTGAGCATCATTCAGGAATGATAGAAATGACAGATCTCTGCAGAAATCAGCACATTGTAGATGCAAGAAAATCTGCAATCTTTTCTTTTTTTGTCCATCTGGAAATCTGCAAAAGGAAACAGCAGTTCGTGCTTCTAAGACACGAGTCTACATTTGGATGAGCATTATGAATGTAATGAAGTTGACTTATTTTAAATAGGTTTAGATAATCAGTTTGGGCTTGTGAAATGCATTTTTGGATTCAAAGCTCTCTGGCTGCTGGCTCCTTTTTAATTCTCTTCCTGGCTACTTGTGTATGTATGTAAAGGCGCTTATGAATGTGCATTTGTGCAAACGAGAATGTATACAGTTTGTTTCTCATGCACACATATATAAATCTGTGAACTGCTCAAAAAGCTCGACCCAAGAGACAGCATCCCAGACATTTTTCAATATGTGTGGCCCGACTAAATATCTGCACACCTGAATGTGCCATAGGTGTGTCAGAGAAAGACTTGCACAGTATCCCCTGCACATCATTTTGCTGTACATGTATTAAACTACAATCAGGTGTTTGTGAAATATAACAGCAAGCAAGTCAGTGTGCGAGAGTTAGATTTAATTTTTTGGTGGGATTTTATTTGGTGACTGCTGAAGTTTCAAAGTTAATTGACTTTTTCTTAACGGGTTAAGCAGGGAAACATTATCCAGGTTAGTTTTCTTCTTATATTTGACTTATGCTTAGTCACTGTGTCACTATTATTGTACTATAAGAATGAATGTGATTGGATATCAAGAAAGGATATCAAGATTTTAATGGTACCACTGCTCCTAGCAGTATGCTGTTGCTCATGGCACCTTGTCGCTATATTTAGATTTAGACTTCAAAATAAAGTGACAGTAGCTCATTAGAAAAGAAGGAAAATGGCCTTGACTTTGTTTGTATCTCCAACTCCAATCACTGATAAAAGACACTGCTCACTATTTTTTTTCTATGAAGTCAGAAAAATCATTATTGCAGATTTCTTTGAGATATTGTGATATAGTTTCGACCCCTATTCACTACTGTTACAGCCGCCACATAGAAATACACTATATTCAGAGGTATATTAATGCAGGTGTGGGGGTATGTTTGTAATTTTGCTTTCCTGCATTTATGAGTCTGGGCTGTGTTCCTGCCGTGCTGGGAAATATTAGCAGCTTATTAGCGCTCTATCCTCACAGCCCATTTCCTCTTGGCTGAGGTGGATTCCCTCAAGCTTTAGAGGAGCACTCATCCACCCCCATCCCTTTTCTCCCCCACGTCCAGGGGAATTTATCCACGGATAGATGGGAAATCATTCTCGAACTTGGAAAGACCCATTCATGCATGTGTGGACGACTGTGTTCGACCCCTCACCGTAATGGCTTTTTTTTTTGGCATTTTCTGGCAGTTACCATGGTGATAGGTTTAGCCACATTACAGCCACTCAGAGACTCTGTTGTTATTTATGACCTCACACCACTTTACTACCCAATTTTTTATTTTCCTGGTACGACACTTAAAGCATGTAGCTCAGCCGCTCCTCGACTAGACACTAAAGTGACTCTTATCCTGATTACAGTCTGTAACACAGATCCAGATACAGACATAGAGGGGACAAAACAAAACATAAACAGTGTTTCCATGTCCTTTCTTTTTCAAATGTTTGTGTACAAAGTGGACCAAAAGGAAGCGAGCTCTTCCTCTGTGTTGGTTAAAACCTAAATTGGGTTATTTGGTGTGACTTCTACTGCAGGCAGGTGTTCAAGTGAACATAGGAGTAACTGACATTAAAGGCTAGCAATAATAATATATAATAATCAGATAAACATTAAATGTATTAATGTTTTAAGTTGCCTTTTTCCTCAGTTTTATATTATTATAAATTGAACCTCCTTTATGCTGCTAGTATAGTTTGAACAGTATTAAAATTGCAATTATAGATTCAGTGTGATGAGCAGTCTGTGACCTGGAAAATTAGTAGCACACACACGGTAGTGGTTCACAGTCTTTCCCACATAAAAGTATTTGTGGATTGTGAAATGGTCTAAATACACTCAACTGTATTCATGTGAAAAGCCTTACTTCACACTTGCTCTGAACACACCAATACACTCCCTTCCTTTTTTCTTCTTGATTCTCTGTCAGCATCATGTAGTGTGGGTACAAAGTTACTGTTACCAGTCTTTAACCAATGAGCTTGTTTTTTGTCTTCTCTTTCTGCCTGCTTGCACTCAGTGGCTTAAGGCCAAGGTAAGAGATGCTTGTATTTCTCCTCTTATTGTCCATAAATTGATGTTCAGAGCTACATTATCAAGGTGCCCATGAAGCCATGAAACATGTCTTTCTACCTTTGAGACGCATAGAAGGATGTGCACCTTTAATCAGTTACACATTTTTTTACAGTAAGAAACTAATCGGATTTGGTGCAAAGGCAGTCCAATAAAGCAGGATCAGTGTATATATAATAAGATATTTCATGTGTATGTTGTATAATTAGATTTACAATCTCTTCATCCATCTATTACTATTAATCATACACTCTTTATGTAAGACAATAGACACCTTCATACTGGTGCTTTGTGTTTTCTCCATTCATACAGTACAGGTGAACCTCATCCGAGTTTGCTTGTTCATCATCGTTGAAATGACTCCTGAGAGTCAGGTTCATTGGTAGGAAAATCGCTACGTTACAGAAAAACAGGCTTTTAACTTGCTCTTTTTTGTCTAGCAACATGGGAACAATGCGGCGGGACGAGGGGGGACCCTTTCAAGGACCAACCCACCTTCACAGAAGCCTCCAAGCCCTCCCATGGCTGGTCGTGGTACCCTTGGGTAAGAACCTACAGTTTAACTTGCGTGGTGTAAGAGGTTGTGGTCCCATCTGGTCTCTGTTAAACTGGGGCTTCCTGCCAAACCAATGAAACACACAGTAGGTTATGAATGCAGAGATATATTTTAGCAAACAGTTCAAATGTTTAAAGTTTCCCTATTCTTTATTTTATTCTATTACTTTCATGAAACTGAAAACAAACTCTACTTTCCTCTTTCCTGTGTTCACCTGACTCCAGACGTAACACTCCCTACAAAACACTGGAGCCTGTGAAGCCCCCAGTGGTGCCAAATGACTACATGACGAGCCCGGCCCGACTCGGGAGCCAGCACAGCCCCGCGCGCACAGCGTCTCTCAATCAGAGACCCAGGACACACAGGTAGCACAGATCCATTTAAACTTTGTTTTCGATTGCAGTTTACCACGTTACAGCTGAACTACAGGTAAATGGGGCACAAATGTTAAGTATATGCATTTAAACCACTTGAGAGGAGTGAAATAAGCCGATGTAAGCAATAATGTAAAGAAATGACCAGAGCATTTAAAATGTGTTAGATAAAGTGAGACATGCTGCAGTTTGTTTTCTGTAGGAATGGGGAGCTTGTAACTTTTTTCAGTGAGACTGACGAGGCCCTCTAACCTGGTGCAGATATGAAGACAATGTGAAAGGGATGATTAGTGTTTTCTTATTTAAAAATGCTGCTTTTTACATCAGATAACCTTCCTGACACTAGGGAAACACCAGTGTTTTTTCAAATTGAAATGTCTGGTTACAAAAAAATGTAAAAAATTATTAGTAAAATAGGAATCAGCAGATAAGACTTTTAAAAAATGAGATATTTACATTTCTTTATTAATTCCTTCAGTCTGTGTTTTTGACCTTTAGATCTCTTCCTTTTTTTCTACATAAACTTCTCTTCTACGTGCGCCGCAACTTCTTCGCAGAAATCGATATTGGTTGCCATAGTGATGGGCACATTGTTGCAGACAGAGTGACATATGAGAGACTAATGATAGGATGTCAAACTTTGTTATGTAATTAAGTTTGTCTCACACATTTCTACTGATTGCCACGAACTCTCCCCTTGCTCTCCGTGCAGTGGCAGCAGTGGTGGCAGTGGTGGGAGGGAGAACAGTGGAGGCAGTGGAGTCGGTGTCCCTCTAGCAGTTCCCACACCCTCTCCTCCCAGTATGGGGCAAGGTGAGTTCCCAGCGCTGCTGTGTCTCCTCGTCTCCTGCATGTGACTCTAAACTGAGCAAAGTTTTGCTTTAAATCTGGAATAGAAGTTGGGATAGATTTTTTTTTTGTTTTTTTAGAAAACTGACAGGATGTAGATTTACTCTTGTGTATTCTGTCACATTATAATAATGGAAAAAGTGCCGCAGGCATATAGCCTTAGTGAAAATGTATATTTCATAACCATGTTTTTGACCTTTTGCTCAAACCAGTATTAAATATATAGTAAAGAAACTGCTATGCAAGAAAATTCTGACCAAGGCATGAAGGAAATCTGGGACACTGGGCACAGAGAGAGCAAGTGTAGTGGTGTGTTCAATAAAGTAAATTGAATATAAATGCTGCTCACACCGGCTCTCCCCTCTTGTAGTGGCCCCATCGTCGGCCTCTGTGCCCCAGGGCCCCGGCTTGGGTCCCATCCCCATGTCCCAGTTTGGCACCATCTCCCGCCAGATCTCCCGTCACAACTCTTCCACCACCTCCTCAGCCTCCATGGTGTCGGCCACTGGCACGTATCGCCGCGCACCCTCCGTCTCCTCCCAGCAGCCCCATCTTAACGGAGGCCCAACATACACTCAGAACCCAGGTAATGTCAAAGGACTCCTGAAGCACTTGGTGTTTAGAGATAATCTGCACAAATAGGTTCGGGAGCAAGAAGTTCACATCCTGTCCTAATATAATGAAATACGCATTTAGAATTTGGCCACTCATACTTCTGCGTTTGGTCCTCTTCGTCTAACAGCTATGCGGGCTAGCCTTTTCAGGGGCTAATGAAAATGAATGATGAACTGTAATAACAGAAGTCGGGGTTGTTGAATCCTCCCCACCTCTGCCCTGCTACGCGGAGTGTTACATTAGCTTTTCTAATTGAGTTATGACATTATTATTTTAGTCAGCTGGAGGAAGGTTCTTGTTCAGGGAGACCGGTGAGCAGGCAGATGGCATTTCAGGGTAGAAAATGCTCGCAGCTGCAAGACGAGGGAAAACCCAGGACATAATGCATATTTTCTGTCAAATGAGGAGAATTTATTTTGGCAGGCTTCTCTCTGAGCCATTCTCCTCTAATGGCTCCTCTCAAAGGACAAACTGTCTTTCTTGGCACAGAATACAGAAGGAGGAGGCTGTCTGTCTTGTCGAGAAGCGAGAGAGAGACAATGACACTGAGCCTGGTTAGCCACAGGCTTTAACTGAGACATTGCATAATCTTGATGATGTCTGCTGTGTAGTTGTTATAATTTTGTGAAGCTAAAAGGTACGTTTGGACACGTGGTGGATGTTACAGAGGTTTAACAGCACAAAAAGCTGTTTCATTACACGATGGAGCTCATTGATCTCACAGGGTGTAGCTGTGGATAGATGTGAAAGCGCGATGGAATATTAGGACATTACTTCAGCGAGGTTACAGACGCCCTCTCGATACATGTGATTTATGAGTCAGACCTGGCATGCCTGTGTGTGACATCATGTCTTTGAGTGAGGACAGCTGTGTTTTTCTGTTTGTCTGTAGGGTTAATCTTACGATGAGACAGTGCAGCAAAAAGATTTTTAAGGGGAATGTATGCAGGTTATGTTGGTACAGGTTTTTTAAGTGAAGGGTGTAGGTGAGCCAAAATGCTGAACTGCATCCAAAAATACTGCTCTAGTGAGATTCCTGCAAATTCTTTGAGAAGCCGTATCTGTCTTCCTGAAGCGTTATCTTGCAGCTGTAGCTGTCATGTTTCTGGGTCTGCGTCGTGCTTTGCACTTCTTTCACCGCGTTGAAAACGCTGCAGCTTTTGCGTTTGATTTTTAAAACAGATGCTGATGAGGTAGATTCTCAGGCTGAGATTAGATGAAGGCCTGTTCGGCCCAGCTTGAAAAACGCAGCACAAAAGAACACTGATTGGAAGTTTTCAATCGAGTTGCTCAGCAATGCTTTCTGTGCTATTTTTGCTTGCTCACAAGCTTTTTGTTGTCTCCCCTCCCCTCTTTCTTTTGCAACATGCTCAATTTGGATTTTCTCTTCTCTGTGATGCCCTTTTGCTCTTTTTTCTGTGTCTTCTGTCTTTCTCCCTGTCCAAACACCTCCGTTGCTCTCTGTCTCTCGGCTGCTCCTTCTGCCTGATTGTTGTGGCTCCAGTGTCTGTGGCTCCTCCACCTCCTCCTCCTGTGGTCCAGCTGACCCCACAGATCCCCCTGACCGGCTTCGTGGCCAGAATGCAGGAGAGCAGTAAGTAGTAGAAAGCAGACAGAAACATACACTTATGTGGTATACCTGCATGTACCGTTAAAGTTAGAAATGTAGACTGTACAAACACAGCCATGTGCAAAAGTCACAGGTATGAACCTCAGCATGCACAAAATTTACGCAACGTCACCAGTGCACTAGACAGGGCTCTGAGCACATTTCAGGACCCACACACTGCTACACTCACACTACCTTATCGCGCTGGATGCATGGCTGAGGGTGGAGCACCCTCAGATGTCTGTCTGTTGCCATGGTGATAGATCACTGAAACCTCTCAGTCCACTGAGGAGAGAAAATGTGACCCGCTGCTGCATCCTGATTCACCAGCCGCTTGTCTGCAAAGACGCAGAGATCAAACTATCTGTGTCTCCCTAGTTCAATGAACCGAAGAACAGTTCTGCACGAGTCATGGAACGACATGAACAATGGAGTTAGTGTGTGTAGTTTGCACTTTTTAAACTGGCCTTAAACTAATAATTATTGCTAAATCAGCTGGTGGCTTTTTTCTTGTTTTTCTGGTGCACAGGAAGCGGCACGTTTTATATTTCCACCACCAGCAACAGGGATTAATGTGCATGTGGAAGAAGAGCTGATTGG